AAGTTAGATATCTCTCTCTCACACACACACACACACCACAACACAACACACCACACCACACCGGTAGTGTAGTGGATTATGGGCTGGACTGGGCTGCAGTTTGGATCTACTGTTGTTCAGAGGAAGAAAGATGAGGCTTTCTGCTCCCACAAAGATTTATAGCCTCGGAAACCCTAGAGGGTCATTATGAGTCGGTACCGACTTGATATCACACAACTACCAAACACCCACACACACACACTCACTGTAAAACTTGGTGGAAATTATGTGTGGAAAGGGAGGTGATGCCAGGGATGAGGGGTAAAAGATGAAGGAAAATCAAGGATGGAGAACAGTGGCCGAAGTCTGAGACCTCCGGGGAGAGCCACAGCGAAGGGAAGACCCACACCTAAGCAGCAGAAACCCAAGCAGACAGGCGTCTGCAGGTGTCTCCCACCCCGCCCTCTGCTCGTAGCTGGAAGAGACTAGGGACTTCTGAAAGGGTCCCCCACCCCGTGTCTGGGGGGCAGGCTCAAGAACCTGCAGCCAAGCAGATGCACCATCAACACACTGTGGCTCAGCGCCCTCCCCTTGCCTCTTCCTCCCCCAACACCACTAGGGTCCCAGGCATCTGACCTCCTCCTCCCGCCCCCCAGCACCGCTCACAGCCTCGGCTCATCTACACAAAGCTCCAATTAACACGTTTTTCCCTCCGCGCCCCGCCCTGCCGCCCCCTCGCCCTCCTAGCTAGTGGCCCTGTTAACCCATGCGACCCCGGCCCTCCCTGTGGCCCTGACCTGCAGGCCAGCGGCGCCGGCGCCGTGAGGCCGGGGGCCGGGGCACTCCGGGAAGTCAGGCGCTCCCCGCCCCCATCTCTGGGAAGAAAAGGGGGGCTTCTCCTGGGAGACTCGGGCGTCGAAATTCCTCGTTCCGTATCCACCGGCCCCCGCACCGTCTCCCCTCCCCAGCCATCTGTTCCACTCGGCAGCGCGGCGACAAACACGGCTCCCGCTCGCATCCGCCCCTGCCAGCCCCCTCCCCAAACTCCCCAGGCGGAGAGACCCCTCCTCCAGGAGACCGAGGCTTCTGCCGACACCCCGCTCCCGGTGTCCCCAGCACCAGCGGGGCAGGGGCAAGCACTGAGACCCTGGCCTTCTGTCGTGAAGGTCGGGTGGGGCTGGGGACAACGCTTGGAACGGTGGGGAGGGAGCAGAAAGACTAGGATCTCAAGGGAGGGACAGGGCAAGCTTCGAGCAGGAGTTCAGGAGGCCGAGACCCCGAAGGGCAGACTCCTGGGTGCATGTGTATGTGTAGGATGGCGGGGTCTCCTCCTAGCTCGCCGCCCCTCGAAGCGACCGGTCCTGGGCGGTGCCTGCCGCAGCCACGCAGCGCCACCTGCTGGCCACGCCGAGTCCCCGGCGCACATTCCTGGCTTCCTCCACCAGCCACGTCAAAACTGGACTATCAATGCTCCCTCTCCATCAACCATTACCGGGTTATTCAGAAAGCAGGGTTCGAGACACAGAGTCCGGGGACATGCCGACAAGCCCTCTGGGAACTGGCCCACTCTCATTGGTGGGTGCGGTCCAATTCTGGTTTCCTACTTCGCAGAAAGAGCACTGGGTTGAACCATTTGTGCAGACTTTGCCAAGTAACCATCTGTAGAATAGGTTATTGTTAAGTGCTATGGTGTTGGTTCCAACTTATAATGACCCTGTAAAGGGTTTCCAAGGAGTGGCTGGTGGGTTTGAACCGCTGACATTTAGGTTAGCAGTCCAGTGTTTATTCTACAGTGTCACACCAGGATCCCATACAATGGGTGGGTCTGTTGTCTTCCCTGGTAAAGAAAATGTACGACAAAGAAAGTAGAAATGGCTTCTCTTCAGCGCTGTCTTCCAGCAGCAGTTAACAGTTGAGATTCTCCGGGATACATAAGGAGGCCTGGTGGCGCTGCGGGTTAGGTGTTGGGCTGCTAACCTTTGGTTCCCAAGCCACCATCTGCTCCACAGGATTAAGATGAGGCCGTTTGCTCGAGTAAACATTTAGTGTCAGAAACCCTAAATATAGGGTGGTTCGCTATAAGTCAGAATTGACTCAGTGGCAGTGGGTTGGATTGGGGTTTTTGGATAGCACAGCGCTAAGAACTCAGCAACTAACAGAAAGGTCAATGGTTTGCAACTCACAACGGAGAAAAAACCTGATGATATGTTTCCATAAGATTCGTTGTTAAGTGCCCTTGAGTGGGTTCCAACTCATAGCGACCCTGCACAGGGTTTCTGAGGAGAGGCTAGTTGGTTTGATTGGCTAACAAAAACAATTGTGGTTAGCAGTCTAGTGCTTACCCTACAGCATTACACCCGGACTTCTTAAAGATTGTTGTTGTTGTTGTAAGTGCCGTCGAGTCGGTTCCGACCCATAGCAACCCTGTACAGGGTTTCCAAGGGTGTAAATCTTTACCGGAGTAGAAAGCCTCATCTTTCTCCCTTGGAGTGGCTGGTAGTTTCGAACCGCTGACCTTAAGGTTCACAGCCCGATTCGTAACCACTACGCTACAAGATTACAGCCTGGGAAACCCTAGGGGGCAGTCCCACTCTGTCCTATGGAGTCCTTAGGAATTAGAATCAAACTATTTGCAGTGGGCACTGTACAGGGCCTTTGAGTGGACAGCTGAGAGCTAGGCTGAGAAGTGGGGGACTTTTCTACCCAGTGACTCCTATGGCTAGCTAGGGCTCCACAGGCAACCTGCTGGGGTTCCCACAACTCAACCACCTACCCACTCCAGGGTTTGTTTCCTCAACCTATGAGCAGGGATGACAGTACCAACCACTTGGACCAGAACCAAACTCATAGCCATCACAGCCAACTACAAGGGCCCCTACATGACACAGTAGAAGCGCCCCCTAGGATTTCTGAGACTGCTCATCTTTGTACATCTCTCATACTTGGGACATGCTATCAGGAAGGGCCAGTCCCTGAAAAAGGGCATCATGTTTAATCAAGTGGAGGGTCAGCGAAAAAGACCCCCAATGAAATGGATTGACAGTGTCAGTTGCAATGAGCTCAAAGGTTAAAATTGTGAGGCTGGCCCAGGACCGGGCAGTGTTTTGCTCTGCTATATATCAGGTAACTATGAGTTGCAATGGACTCACTACCTAATAATGACATCTTTATAGGAGTAGACCACCTCTGTCATTGTCCCATGGAGCAGCTGATGGGTTTGAACCCCCAACCTAATGGTTAACAATCCAACACTGAATCCACCAAGCCACTTGGGTTTTGTTAAGTGCCATCATGTGGGTTTCGACTTGTAGAAACCCTGTAAAAGGTTTCCAAGGAATGACTGGTGGGTTTGAACTGCTGGCCTCTCAGTTAGCAGTCCAGTGCTTATCCTCCAGTGCCACATACCTATGTTGTGTTGTTAAGTGCCAGTGAGTCAGTTCCAACTCATAGCAATCCTCTTTGTAGGATTTCCAAAGAGCAGCTGGTGGGTTTGAACCACTCACCTTACAGTTAGAAGTCCAGTGCTTATCTTACAGCAGGACTCCTCACATACCTGTGTTGTTGGTGTTAAGTGCTGTCAAGGTGGTTGTGACTCTTAGAGGCCCTATATAGGGTTTCTGAGGAGTGGCTGGTGGTTTGAACCGCCACCTTGTGATTCAAATTGATCTTGCAGCCCAGTGCTTATCCTATAGTGCTACACCTATGTTGGTGGTATTAAGTTGGTTCAGACCCACAGACACCCTGTGTAGGGTTTCCGAGGAGCAGCTGGTGGGATCGTCAGGATTGAATGAGACACTTGTGTGGGGCAAGCAGGTCCTCACCTGGCCGTCTGTCCTCCTGGTCCTGTCAGTCATGACTTTTGCTACCCTCCAAGGTTTATGCCTCTGGGGCACCAGCAGGTGTACTAGAGACTCCAGAAGGCCCAGGATAAATAAGGTATGTCTTCCTGGAAGGTCCCTTTCCTCAAAGATGTTGTTTTCCCTCGAGGTAGGTAATTTTAAAACCTCACTTTAATGTTAAAAGCAAATGTAAATATAGTATAAAGTGGAACTCAACATTTGCATGAAGTTTCAAGATAAAATCGGAGACCACAGAACAGTGTTACTTTGAGCAACCCTCCAGGGATTCACTGGTGGATGTGGCAAGAGTCAGTACTGCGAACTCTTTCCACGGCAACCTGTCCCGACCTCCCATCTGGAGAGAGACCAGCCTCCTAGACATCTCCCCAACCCTCCAAAGTTGGGGGAAGGGACAGGAGCTGGGCTCTTTCTGGGCACTAAGGGCAGGGCAGGGCTGAGAAGAGGGAGCTAAACCAGACACCAGAGAGGGATAGACTGGTACTCCAAGTGTCCCACTTCATGCCCAGCTGAGCCTGGGTGAGAAGGAAGGAGGGCAACGGAAGACATCCACCCACTCCCAGGCAGAGGTGTAGTGCAGCCAGTCTCTCACTTCCCTTTTTATTTCCTGTAAGAAGCAGCACCAGGGAGGGAACCCGCCCTCCAGCCCCTGGAAGGAGATTGTCCCCCCATACTCCTTCCAGGACGCAGCCCACACCCTCAGATCCCTCTGAGCTAGCGGAGGGTGGCTGCGCATGCGTCCACACCCAGGCACACACACACACACATGCACACTCCTGACACTGCACTGCTGGGACCTCAGGAGCAGGCAGCCTGTTCGCTGACCCCCTCGTGAGCCCCCAGGATACAGGCCCAGTGGACAGATCTCCTCCAATCCAAGGACCACCAGGAGAAGATCCAGTCCCTCTAGCCCAGGGGTTGTCTTCAGTCAATGGAGCGTTACTTTGGGAGATTTTTTTAGGGTATGTCTTTTTTTTTTTTTTTCCCCCTTTTTGCAAATCCCTACAAAAATAGAACTCTGGGTATTTATAAATCCGCGGTCCCTGGTTCTGTGTGTATGTTACAGGTAGGAAAGCCACAAGGAGCACTCCCTTTGGTTGCTCGGGCTGGACTGCTGCCGGTCAGGTTCCTGGGCCTTGAAGGTCTATGCTTTCATCAGCTCAGCTAGGGGCTGCTAAGCACCTTCTGGGGGTCCACCCAGCTGGCAGCGTACTCCCTCTGGAGTCGGCTACGAAAGTAGAAGAGGTAGGAAGGTAACAGGAATCCCAGGAGTGAAAATAACAGGAGGCTCAGATTGACCTAGGGACCAGAAGAAAGAGAAAAGGAGTGAAAAAGGTACTCCTCTGCCACCATAACCCTCTGCGGCCCTCCGGAGTCTGCAACAGGGATGAGGGCACAGCCACTTTTGCACCAAGCCCTGGGATAGATTGATAAACATAGCTAGTATTTATTATGAGCACTGGACTGCTTGCCAGAAGGTTGGTGGTTCAAACCCACCAGCCACTCCTTGAAAACCCTATACAGTGTTGCTATGAGTCAGAACTGGCTTGACGGCACTTAACAGCAACATGCATTTATTATATGCCTGTGGTATTAGTTGGTGGCAGTTAGTTGCTATAGAGTTGGTTCTGATCCATGGTGACCCTTTGTGTGTGGTGTAGACCTGCTCCTTAGGGAGTAACAAGAACGTGACCTTTTACTAAGCATATCGCTAGGCCTGTCTTCCAAGGTGTTTCTGGGTAGGTTTAAACTGCTAGTCTTTCAGCTTAACAAGTACTTAACTGCTATACCACACAGGGATTTCATATTATGTGATTGGTGCAAGATCCCTCGGTGGCACAAATGATTTGTACTAGCTCTGGTAGCGTAGTGGCTACGAATCGGGCTGCGAACCTTAAGGTCAGCTGTTCGAAACTACCAGCCGCTCCGCGGGAGAAAGATGAGGCTGTCTACTCCCGTAAAGATTTACACCCTCGGAAACCCTGTACAGGGTCGCTATGGGTCGGAACCGACTCGATGGCACTTAACAACAACAACTCACTTTAAAGCTGATGGTTCAAGTTTACCCAGAAGAACCAAGGAAGAAAGGCCTGGTGATTGCTTCCATAAAGGTTACAACCTAGAAAACCTTATGGAGCGCAGCTCTACTCTGTCACACATGGGGCGTATACCATGAGTTGGAATCGGCTCGACATTAGCAAATTCAGTTTTGTTTTTACTTTTGATGAGCCAGTCACTGCTCCAGTGGTATCTCATGGAATGTTCCACAGCCTTGTAGCGTGGCTGAGTTGCGAATACTTGGAGGGGTCTCCTGGCTTTGAACCCCAGCTGATGCCAGTACCCATAGGGCAACTGAATATACCATCTGAGCTTTGGAGACATGGTCTGTGGGCTGGTGAAAGATGGCTCTCGGGCAGTTAAAGGAGCTGGGATGTGAACATGGAGGACAGAATGCTTGGGGGTCCCCAGAATGGGGCTCCAATCAGTTCCCACCCCGTTTCTGCCATTACTCCCAATACAAAGTGCTGTTCAGGCAGAAACCAAGGTGAAAGTGAGTGTGAACTACTGAGCACATCAGGTCCCTGTCTGTCCTTCCTGCAGTTCTAGAGGGTCTCCCAGGCACGGGGCCTCATGGGCAGATGTCAGCTCAATGTAAGAAAAAGCCTTTCTAACAAGACAATGGCTGCCTTGGGCAGGAAGGGCCCCGAGTGGTGCCAACGGTTTGCACTGGCCTATTAACCTAAAGGGATTTCTGGTATGGTGCTGTGAACCACAGGATTGGTTCAAACCCACCAGCTGCACCTCAGAAATCCTAGACAGGGTCGCTATGAGTCAGAGCCAACTCAACAGCACTTAACAACAAATTAACCTAAAGGTTAGCAGTTTAGTGCAGCCCGAGGTGCCGTGGAAGAAAAGTCTGGCAGAAAGCCATATGGAGCAGTTCGACTTTGTCGTATTTGGGACTGCCATGAATCAGAATTGGCTTGACAGCAGTGGGTTTGACCTCGTACAGGACTGGGCACCCCTCCCTGTGGCATTGGTTGGAGTGCTGGAGAGAGGATCCTTGCATCGAGCGAGACTGGACTAGCTAGACCTGTGGTTCCTGAACACAGGTCCTGCATTGAGGACTGGGCCACAAGTCACCTGGGAGCGCATTACAAACCCAGCCCTCTGGACCTGGCATTGAGAGAGGCCAATCCAGGAGGCTGGGGAATCTCTCAACACCCTTTTCAGGGGTTCTATTGGAATCCCGCAAAGGAGCTCTGGTAGCGTAGTGGTTACGAATAGGGTTGTGAACCTCAGGATCAGCAGTTCGAAACCACCAGCTGTTCCCGCGGGAGAAAGATGAGGCTTTCTGTTCCCTTAAAGATTTACAGCCTCGGAAACCCTGTACAGGGTCACTATGAGTCAGAACCGACTCCACGGCACTTAACAACAACAACAACAACAACATTGGGATCCCGCAGAGTGAAGACGATAATGTGAGGGAAAAAATCTTTCTCTCAAATCAAACCCCTAACTTACCCGCAGCACCCCACAAGGTAGCTCCAGCCATCCCCGCGTTACCCCCAGTTCTCACCCAGAAGGGGTCTCCTTTCAAGGGTCCCACCATGGCCATGAAGAGCGGCTGCTGGAGCAGGGCAAACACAGCACTGATGAGTGACTGCAGACCCGTCAGCGTCCCGAAGTGGTTGGATGGGAACCTGTGAACGAGAGGGCCCGAGGATCAGGGGCAAGCGGCCCTCTTGGCCCCAGGATCCCTCTTGATCCCCCACCCCACCCTACCCAGATATTTCTCTGCATGCACTCTTGAGTACTCGGACCTCAGCCATCTAGTGTTAGGTCCCTTGGCCTCAATGGTGTACTCTGGGACTTACAGGACTTAACACCTACTGGTGTGGTGCTGCGGGTTAATGCACTAGACTACAAGCAAGGTCAGCTGCTCAAGCTCACCAGCCGCTCCTCAGAAACCCTATATAGGGTCACTATGGGTTGGAACTGACTCGACGGCACTTCACAAGAACAACTACTTGTTAGACACCAGCAAGTAAAGGTGCAGTGAGGGTTCAGCTGCTAATAAAGGTTGACAGTTCAAACCCATCAGTCACTCTGTGGGAGAAAAATGTGGCACCCTGTTTGTGTAAAGCTCACAGGCTTAGAAACTGTGGGACAGTCCTCTGAGTCAGGATCCACTGACACCAAGAGGCAGGGATAACATTAACCTCACTGCATTGTTTCCTTTTGCTTCTTTCCTCCCCCTTTGTTATAGTGGAAATGCACACGACAAAACCTTCACCAATTCAGCAAGTCTACGTGTAAGATTCAACAACACTGATCACGTTCTTCATGGTGAACAGCCACTCTCAGTATTCTTTTCCATATTAATCTGCTCTTTGGAGAGAGATTTGTTGAGTTCCTACTGTTTCAGGCCCTGTTCAGGATGGCCTGGGCAGCCTCAGCAGGAAGAGGACAGTTAGGTAAAGACCTGAAGAAGGTATGAGTGTTGAGTGTTGTGGGTAACTACAGGAAGAGGAAGAGCAAGTCTGGGGATGCAGGCTTGAGGCTTCTGAGAAGCAGGGTGGCCAGCGTGGCTAGAGTGGAGTGACTGAGGGAGAGGATTATAGATTGTGTCCAAAAATATATATGTTATAGATCCTACACCCCTATACCTCTAAGAAGTCCTTGTAGCACAGTGGGCTAAGCATTGGGCTGCAATCTGAACGGTCAGTGGTTCAAATCCACCAGCTCCACAGGAGAATGATGTAGGAGTCTGATTCTATAAATAGTCACAGCCTCAGAAATGTCCTACGAGTCAGAACTGATGTGATGATGGCGATGGGGTTGGGAGTTTGATATACAGGGTTGCTATGGGTCAGAACCAACATGACGGCACTTAACAACAACATCATTAATATCACACATAAGTAAAATTTTGCTGGAGATAATTTAAAAACTACCGCAGTGGTACATAAACATGGAGCTAACAGAAATTCAAGCTGGATTCAGAAAAGGAGGTGGCATGAAGGGCATTCCTGCTGATGTCAGATGGGATTTTGACTAAAAGCAGAGAATACCAGAATGATGTTTGTATGTGTTTTATTAACTATGCATAAGCATGTGGTTATCATAACACGTTATGGATACCACTGCAAAGAATTCCAGAACTCTTAATTGTGTTCATACACAAAGTGTACATTGACCAGGCAGAGTGTATTCGAACAGAACAAGGGGATACAGTTGTTGTTGTTAGGTGGCATCAAGTTGGTACCGACTCACAGCGACCTTATGCACAACTGAACAAAACACTGCCTGGTCCTGTGCCAACCTCACATTTGTTGTTACACCTTATCCCATTGCTACTGCCACTGTGCCAATGCATCTCATTGGGGATTTCCCTCTTTTTTGCAAACCCTCCACTTTACTAAACATGATATCCTTCTCCAGGGATTGGTCCATCCTGATAATATGTCCAAAGTATGAGAGATGAAGTCTGGTCGTCCTGGCTTTTAAGGAGCGCTCTAGCTGTATTTCTTCCAGCACAGGTCTGTTTGTTCTTTTGGCAGCCCATGGTACTTTTAATATTCTCCTCCAACACCGTAACTCAAATGCATCAATTCTTCTACGGTCTTCTTTATTCACTGTTCAGCTTTTGCATGCATATGAGGCTATATAAAATACCATGGCTTGGGTCAGGTGCACCTTAGTCCTCAAGCTGACATCTTTGCTCTTGAACACGTTAAAGAGATCTTGTGCAGCAGATTTGCCTAATGTAATTCATCATTTGATTTCCTGACTGCTGCTTCCATGAGTGTTGATGGTTGATCCAAACATAATGAAGTCTTTGACAACTTCAGTCTTTTCTCCATTTATCTTGATGTTATTTGTTAGTCCAGTGGCAAATATTTTTGTTTTCTTTACATTGAGGTGCAACCCATATCAAAGGCTTTGATCTTTGATTTTCATCAGTAAGTATTTTAAGTTCTCTTGGTTTTCAGCAAGCAAGGTTGTATCATTTGCATATCGCAGGTTGTTAATGAGCTCTCCTACAATCCTGATGGCAATATAATCCAGCTTCTCGGATTATTTGCTCAGCATACAGATTAAGTAAATGTGGCGCACACCTTTCCTATTTTTTAAAAATTCGGTGTTCCCCTTGCCCTGTTCGAACAACTGCCTCTTGGTCTATGTACAAGTTCCTCATGAGCACAATTAAGTGCTCCAGAATACTCATATTTCACAATGTTGTCCATAGCTTGTCATGAGCCACACAATCGAAAGACTTTGCATAGTCAATAAAGCACAGGTAAATATCTTTCTGGTATTCTCTGCTTTCAGCCAAGATCCATCTGATATCAGCAATGATATCCCCCTTTCCACGGCCTTGTCTGAATCTAGCTGGAACCTCTGGAAGTTCTCTGTGAATATAGTGTTACAGTCAGTTTTGAATTATCTTTAGCAAAATTTTACTTGCATGCAATATTAGTGATATTATCTGATGATTTCTGCATTCTACTGGATCACCTCTCTTTAGAATGCCCACAAATACAGATCTCTTCCAATCAGTTGGCCAGGCAGCTGCCTTCCAAATTTCTTGGCATAGATAAGTGAGTGCCTCCAGCGCCTTGCCAGTTTGTTGAAAGATTTCAATTTGTATTTGATCAACTCCCAGAGCCTTGTTCTTTGTCAATCCCTTCAATGCACCTTGGACTTCTTCCTTCAGTATCATTGGCTCTTGATCATATGCTACCTCTTGAAATGGGTGAACATCGTCCCAGACACTGGACAAATGAATAAGGAAGACCAAAGCAGAATGCCTTTGAATGCTGGTGTTGGCAAAGAATACTAAATATACCATGGATTGCCAGAAGAATGAATCAATCTCTCTTGGAAGAAGTACAGCCAGAGTGCTTAGAATTGAGGATGATGAGATTTCGAGTGACAGATTTTGGACATGTTATCAGGAGGGACCAGTCTCTGGAGAAGGACATGAAGCTTGGTAAAGTAAAGGGTCAGTGAAAAAGAGGAAGAGATGGCTTAATACAACAGCTGCAACAATGGACTCCAGTATAGCAGTCATTGTGAGGATGGTCCAGGTCCCGGCAGTGTTTCCTTCTGTTAGACACAGTGTCTCGGATGAGTCAGAACTAACTCAAGGACACCTAACACCAAACTGTGAGAGCCTTGCTGGCACTCAATTGCTAATGAGAGGTCAGTGGTTGGAAATCACCAGCAGCTCTGTAGAAAAAGAAGTGACCGTCTGCTTCCGTAAAGACCCAGACTTGGAAGCCTATGGAGCCGGGCTACTGTGTCCTATAGGGTTGCTATGAGTTGGAATCCACTCAATTCCAACAGATTGGGTTTTCAAACTGTGAGAAAATAAATTTTTGTTCATTGAAGCCACCCATAGCAGCCTGAAGAAACGTAGACACCAAGTATTTCCGGTTCCTTTCTGAAGGATGCTCAGTCAGTAGGCCATCCCACGGGGGACAGGTAACCCTGGAGGAAGTGAGCTCCCCATCACCAGAGGAGCTGAGAAAGGGTTGTGGATGGACAGCCCTGAGCCATCAGTATAAATACTGATGATGGGGACCATGGGAGTAGGGGACAGTGGGGGATGTCCAAGGATCTGGGATCCTCTGGTTAGGGGGAAGGCTTGGGGAAACATGGCCGACAGACTCACACAGCAGCATAGAGGCCTCCGCAGGCAGAGTGGAAGAAACCCCGAACCATGGTATGCAGGATGAAGGTCACAAACTGAAACCAAGTCAAAAAGGAAGAGGTTACAAGAGGGTGTGCAGACAGGAGGAAGGAGGGGTGGGCAAAGAGAGGAAGGGGAACTTCCTGAGCTCGTCCACACACTCCTACCCTCTCTCCAACTCAGCCCACTAGACACACTTCCTGGAGAACCAGAAGAGAGGCGGAAAAAGAGGACAAAAATCTTGGGCCCCGAAGGACAGACAGTGGTAAACCATCCTTGAGGAAGCCCTGGTGGTCCTGTGGGTTAAGCACTCAGCTATCAACCTAAAGGTGAGTGGTTTGAACCCATCAACTGCTCCATGGAGGAAGATGTGGCAGGCAGTCTGCCTCCTTTGAGCTTTGCAGCCTTGGACACCCTGTGGGCAGGTCTACTGTGTCCTCTAGGGTCACTATGAGGCGGGAGGGACTCAATAGAGAAGGTGGAAGCAAGAATGTCTACCTGGAGGTGTAAGTTGTTGATGAGGCAGGTGATGCCAAAACCCACAAGCAGGAAGTTGGTGAAGGTGAAGGCGTTGATGGCATTGGTGAGCTTCTGGATCTTGCGGTAACGCGGTCTGGTGGACTTGGTGGCAATCCCGTCCCTGAGGAAGAAGGCATTACAGGCTGCTACTTCAACCTGGCTGCTAACCATTCTGAACCTGTCCCCTCAACCTGCTGGGGCACCTTCACCCTCAAGGCTGTGGGGGCAGCAGGGAAGGTAGAGAATCATGTCCAGCTCAGTGGGTCTCCCCACCTGGTTCCCCCAACCAACCTGCATTACCTGGTGCTTCCTTATAAATGCAGGTGCCCAGCCTGCACCCCAGATCTCAACTCTCAGGGGTGGAGGCCAGTAATTAGCATTTTGACCAGCACCCCTGCACAGTGAAGTGTGAGAGCCAAGGAAGGGAAGAAGGTAGAGAATGAATGGGTGCTCTCATCCTGGTCCTCATCCCATCTCAGGAAGGGATGTCCACCCCTCATCCAGTCTGACAAGAGCGGACGCTGTCTCCCCACCCCCACCACATGGAGGCCAGCCCAGCAGAGGTCAGTAGGCTGGGGTGAGGGCAGGCTGCCCATCTGTCCTGGCCAGAGGGCACTGCAGATGGACACTGGCCATCAGGAGAAGAGGGCGCAGGAGGAAGGCTGGGTGCCCGGGATGGGGCACTGTTGGCAAGTCACTGGATTTGTTCCATATAGATGCCTTCTCTCTAAGCAGACTCTCAGGACAACCAGGGACTATTTGGATTCACACAGAAAGAGCAGCCAAAAGACCGGGATACAAACCCAGGTGACCAGCTTCTATGATGGCCTCCAATGGTCCAGGCAGCCCTCCTGGTTTCACCCCGTTGTGTGGCTCCCCACACACACTGTACCAGGGTTGGTCTCTGTGACCAACAGAACATGACAGAAATGATGGTACGCCACTTCTGAGATTAGGTTATAAAACATTCTGGGGCTTCCATATTGGGGGCCTCCTCTCACTCTCTAACTCATCTTCTTCTCTGAGGAAAGCCTGCAGTCATGTTCTAAGCAGACCTATAGAGATGCCCTTGTGGGGAGGAGCTGAACTTGAGAGAGCTGAGAAGCAAGTTTTCCCTCTGTCAAGAGTTCAGATGGCAGCAGCTCTGGACGAGTTTGAATGAAACCTTATGAGAGATCTGGAAACAGATCCACCAAGCTCAGCCATTCCCAGACTCCTGCCTAGCCCTCAGAAACTGAGACATACACAGTTCGGGCTCTTCCTAGTCCTAAAAAGATGCTATCAAGTACAGGTATACCTCATTTGATTACGCTTTGCTTTATTGTGATTTTCACAGATTGAAGGTAACCCTGGAGCAAGTCTATCGGCACTGTTTTTTCAACAGCATGTGTTCACTTCATGTCTGTCACATGTTTGTCATTCTTACAATATTTCAAATTTTTTTAATGTTCTATTACATGCTTCATTGGCTACAACATGGTACATAACATAACTCTTCTATGTACCGGGAAACAACACAAATGGTGTGACTCACTTTATTACAATAGTCACTTTACTGTAGTGGGCTGGCACCAAACCGATCATATCTCTGAGATCTACCTGTATATCCTGTGTAAGACAGCTTCTAGAGCTTGCATGACTCATTAACTTTCTCATGCCTCAGCTTCCCCATCTGCGAAATGGGCATAATAATAACCCCACCTCGGAAAGCTGTTGTGTGGGCTCAATGAGACAAAGTAAGGTGTTCAGAGCACAGCCAGCACTCAGTGTTAGCTATTATTGCCACTGTGTGCCCTCTTTGCCTCAATTTCCTCATCTGTAAAATGAGCTCTTTCCAGGCTCTTGGGAAAATGAAATGAGAAGCTGGATGTAAAAGTGAATAGAAATCAAGGCCCATCTAACTAGCTGTCACCATCCCTGTCTGGGTCACCTGGCATCTCCAAGGGCAACACCCTCGGTGGGGTCATCCACGCAGTCCTTGATCCGCCAGTCCATGATATAGCCGATGAGGGGACAGGTGAGAAGACACAGCAGCTGCATGGCCCCAAAGATGGACGAGTAGAACCCAACTGGGCAGGATGGGAAGGAAAGCGGTGTCAGGTGCTGGCCCAACAGACACCAGCAGCCCAGCGGGACGGACCAGCCAACCCAGCGGTGGAGTGGGATTTCCAAAAGAACCTTCTTCTGACCCCAGGTTCCTAGTTCCCCAAGATGCTCAGGGTGACAAGGGAGGGACCAGGGCCCAAGGGTTCCTGCCACTTGAGGAGCGACCGGGGCCCAGCCTTCACCCTACCTGTGTCTGCTGCCCTTTTTCTCAGCTCCTCCGACACTGGTGGAGGGGGAAGGGAGTCAAGATGAGAGGAGCCCAGTCAGGGTGGCCCCTTGTGTTCCCCTCCCCTCACCCCAACTCTCAATGGGCTCAGCAATGCCTCACCATTCTCCTGGCCACCGGTCACCAAGTAACTGAGCATCTTGTTCATGGCAGCCATATAAAAGATGACCCGCAGTTGGGTCATACCCATGGTGAGGAGACTCCACAGGAAGATGGGGGCACACAGGCTCTTGCGAAAGGGGATGGACTCTGGAGAGACAGCAGGGGGCGCACCTGAGTCCCAGGCCTTCCATGTCTCCTGCTTGTCCCAGCCCACACAGCTCTAACGGAGCCTCTGGCACTAACTTTGAAGGAACATCTCTTCTAGGGGCTGGTTTCTTCCTGTGCAAAATGAGAGGGTCAGACTCCTTGGCCTCCAAGCTCTTGCCCAGCTCTGGGATGACCTATGCTTTGCAGGCTGCTATTGAATTGGCCTGTGACTTACAGTGATCCCATGCACTGCCCCCATGATTGGTTAAGGATCACACCATAGAGTTTTCATTGATAGTTTTTTTGGAGGTAGATCACCAGGCCTTTCTTCCTATTTTGTCTTAGTCTGGAAGCTCTGGTGAGACCTGTTTAGCATCACAGCAACACAGAAACCTCCACACAGACAGGCAAGTGACGACTCCCCATAAGGTACGCTGGCCAGGAATCGAACCTAGGCCTCCCTCTGGCTACTATACTATTTGTTAAGCAATCGCTATGTGTCGCAAGGAGTCCCAGTGTGGCACTGTAGGCTAAGCACTGAACTGCTAACTGCAACGTTGGCAGTTCAAACCCACTAGCCACTCCGTGGAAACTCTGTAATTGCTAACAGTAACTCAATAGATTAGGTAGGAACCTCTGGGGACTGTGGGTTTATGTTACTGAGGAAGAGACAATGAGTGTGAGATGACAATGCTCTCAAGGGTTTTTTCTTATAAATTTTTAAAAATATAAGACAAAGCCCTATAGAGCACAGTTATACTCTGACACACGGGCTTGTCATGAGCTGGAATCAATTCAGTTGCAACTGGTGTGGTTTGGTTTGTGAACAGGTATTATTCCATTCAGTATCATCTTCCAACCATCCTCTCTTTACCCCATTTTACAGATGAGGAGACTAGAACTCTGAAAGGTTACGTGATGACTGGAGGCCTGGTGGGTTAAGCACTGGGCTGTTCAAACCCACCAGCAGCAACTCAGGAGAAAGAAGAGGTGTCTGCTCCTATAAACATTTATTTTACAGCCTCAGAAACCCCATGGGGCAGTGCTACTCTTATCACACAGGAGTGCTCTGAATGACTTTAGTGGCAGTGGAGTTTGATATGGATTTTAGTTGAAATGACAGGCCAGTCTGACTCAGACTCACACCTGTAAGCAGTCAGTCCATCAGGTGGGTCAGCAGTGGCGTTCTTACCCCTTATATGCACTTCACACAGAGTTCCCATGTCCATGACTTCATCCACCTTCACAACTAACTTCTCCAGGAGGTAATTTGTATTTGGTTAAGAGAAGGGAAAATGTTGAACACTGATCTACTCAAGTCACATAGTCTGAAGGTTTGGAGCCAAAGCTCAGACCCCCATCTCCTTCCACTAGATCATGAAACTGACAGTTTCAGGGCCTCAGGCACCTTGGGAAATGATCAAAGCAGATGGTTTCCCCAACCATCCAGCCAGCTTCCTCTGAGACAGAGAGGGTGCAGTTCCCAGTGTGACCAGGAGGGGGCCCCACACAGCCACGCTCCTGGCTGTGCCTGATGTAAGCGGCTCAGAGGTTGCTGGAGATCTCAGAGGGAAGAGTTGCTTCCCAGGCCTTACCTTCATTCTGGCAGCTCCTCTCCCCCATCCAGGGAATCCATCAAGGTACCCGTGAATCTGAATTTCCCATAGTTCTCTGAGCTTTGATTTCCCCATCTGTTACCAGGAAGCCTAAGGAGCCCTAGTGGCACAATGGTTAACTGCTTGGTTGCTACTCAGGAAATTTGTGGTTTGAGCCCACATAGCAGCTTCATGAGAAAACCACCTCACAATCTGCTTCTGTTAAGGATTACAGCGTAGAACACCCTACAGGACAGTTGTACTCTGTCACACGGGGTTACTACAAGTCTGAGTGATACAACATCACCTAGTCACAATAGCACCCCATGCCCTCCCCAGCTGAGGGGGAGAGAGTGAACAATTCCCCGACACATGCTCGCTGGCTGTGAGGACCCACCCTCCCCAGCCCCTGAAACTCACTCTCAGGAGACTTTTCTGAGAGGCCCCGGTCATCCCCTTCCTCCAGGCTGGGGGCCTTCTGACTCAGCCGTTGACCCACGCTAGTCACATGGTCATAGAAGCGATCACCTGTCACCTTGTGGTCCAGAACCAGCCCACTGAGCTTGATCTTCTTCCTGTCAGTGGCCAGGCCAGAAGGTGTGAGAACCAGTCACCGGGGCCACCCTCCCCGCCTGTCCCAGAGCCTCTGAGAACCCTGTGGCCCAGCATGGCCACATCTAGTGCGGTGTGGTACAGGCTGCTCAGAGCACGTCTAGGGCTGAGCAGAGGTGCCCAGTAAGAGAAGGGCACATGGGCCATTTTCACTAAGGTCGTTCTCAGAGAGGAGACAGCCTAGTTCCAGCCCCTTATGATGGCATGACCTTTGCTCCCAGATCCTTTGTTTCCTTCACCTGTAAAGTGAAGTTCTCTGGTAGTGTAGTGGTTATGAATCAGGCTGCTAACTTCAAGGTCAGCAGTTCGAAACTACCAGCTTTTCTGCGGGAGAAAGATGAGGCTTTCTACTCCCGTAAAGATATGCAGCTTCAGAAACCCTGTGCAGGGTCACTATGTGCTTGGCTATCCCCCAATCTGGGTCCACATAGTATCTCCTCTGTTGCTGAGGTCCTTCCCAAACCCCACAGGATAACAACAATCGCATTAGTCAACTCACTCAGGGCACCTGCGATGTGCCAGCTTTATTATTTAGAAACACTTGTAAATGGGCACATGTGACAGAATTTAGAGCTCAGACGATCTGCCAAGCAGAAAACCCAATCCATCCTACCACCAGCCCCCTGGGAGAGCCCCCAGCTCACTGCAGCACCCCCACACTCACATGTAATCGACCTCCTCCGGGGCTGGAAAAGCTTTGGTGGGCCAGTTGAGGGCACAGTTCAGGAAGATGAGGCAAGCCAGGCCAGACCAGGTGAACATGATGACCACAAATGCCACACCAGCATCGTAGATGAGCTGTGGGACAGGGGCAGCAATGTGGGGACCCTGAGCAAGTGCCCTGTAACTTACAAATGCACTAACTTCCCAGGCTCAGGGAGTTCGAGGGGAGCGTGGTTTGGTATCATCGGCTATCACCATTTCCAGCCCCTTCTGGACCATGAAAGAACCCGGGCTGCAGACGCCTGTTCTTCCTACCTCAGTCTTTTGCCCAATTTACAGATGAGGAAGCCAAGGTCAGAAGTTAGAGCCACAGCTAGAAGATCCACCCCCCGTCTACCTTCTTCAGCCCAGCCTCCCGTTCCCCAACAAGAATGATGAATCCATCCCCACAAAGTGCAGAAGCTGCAGGTCCTCAACTCAGATGTGTCTGCAGTCTCAGTTATCATCTGTAAAATGGGCACCCATTGTGCCTGGACTCCATAAACCTCCCTGGGTGTTTTCACACACACGTTTGCTAATATCATTTCACCTCACCTATAAAAGAGGGAAAGGAATGCCAAAGGTTAAACAGGAGTCCCCTGTTCCTGGTGCCCCTTTCTGGAACGTTTGCTGAAGTCGAAGTCTTAGCTTGCCTCTCACTGGTGCAGCACACTCCAGGACCAGCTGGTTCAGTGTTGATATGGACTCCGCTCAAGTGAGTCAGCTCGTCTACCGGGGCACAGACGCACTCCTTCCTCCTGCCTCTCCTCCTGAGCCTCAAGGTGGTCCCTACTCTTTCTTTCAAGGCAGTGACTCCTGGTGACAACAGGGCAGGGCCTCAAAAGGCCATACCCTTAAACTTAGGGGTTAAAATAACAGGTCCTCCAACCCCACCCTCCGCACCTACTGCTATCTGAACAAAGCGCCTTCTCAAACTCCTGTGGGGACGCTGATCAAGTGCCCTCTAAACTCACAAATGAACTAACTGTCCAGGCTCAGGGAGCCTGAGGGGCAGACCACGGCACAACTAAATATCATTTGACAAAGAAAGAAATGGAGACTCCAGCTTGCACCTACCGAGCTGGCCCTTGTTCCCTGACACTCATTTGTCCAGGATCTGGTCTGGCAAGGGCTAGCGTAGTGACCTTGGACTCAAGTCACCCTCTGGGAGGTGTGGAAGGAGATATGGCCCAAAGGTTGGATGGGGCCAGAATCAGGTGCCCTGAATGCATGTATAGAGGTTGGACTTCCTTTGTAGGTGAATCAGAACTACCGAAGGATTTTCAGGGGGTCTATGAGTCAGTCCTCTGTCTTAGAAAGATCATTCTAGAAGCCACGTAAATGACAGTCTAACCCTAAAGAACCAAGACAGCTGTCATTAAGTGTAGTCTGACTTAGTGTGCCCCATGTATGTCACACTAGAACTGTGCTGCCTTTAAAACAGATTTGCAGGCCACTCTTCTTAGATGCCTCTAGGTAGACCTGAACTGCCAACCTTTTGGTTAGCAACAAGCACGTTAACCATTTACACTTACCAGAAGCACCACAACAGACTATTGTTGTTGTTGTTAGGTGGTGTCAAGTTGATTCCGACTCATATCAACCCTGCAGGGCCCCTGAGGCTACAAATCTTTATGGGAGCAGAAAGCCTCATCTTTTGCCCAAAGAGCAGCGGTGGATTTGAACTGCTGACCTTGTGGTTAGCAGTTCAGTGTTTCTCCTACAGTGCCACCAACATTCTCCATGACAGACTTCTTGCTGTTCTTATGTTGTTAAGTGCCGTGAAGTTGGTTCCAACTCATAGCCACCCTGTATAGGGTTTCCAAGGAGCAGTTGGTGGGTTTGAACTGCCAACCATGTGGTTAGCAATCCAGTGCTTATCCTACAGTGCTACACCAGGACTCCCATGACAATATGGTGGTGGTGGTAATGTGCCGTGGAGTCGATTCTGACTCACAGCGACCCTGCACAGGGTTTCCGAGGCTGCAAAAACTTTACAGGAACAGAAGGCCTCATCTTTCTCCTATGGAACAGCTGGTAGTTTCAAACTGCTGACCCTGAGGTTAGCAGCCAGATTTGTAACCACTACGCTACCAGTGCTCCTTCCCATGACAGCATAGAGAGGGATAAGATCAGAGGCAGGGAGCAGTTGATAAAACTTGCCCTGGTCCAGGGGAGAGGATGAAGACCTAGGCAGAGGCCACAGGGATAACGAGGGGGAGGAGGTAGGGCTGGGCACATTCTGTCATTCCTTAGTGCTTCTCCGCCTGGTGCTAGACAACCAGCCATCTCTCTTCCGGATCTTGTTTTGTTTTGTTTTTTTAAACTGTGTAGCATAGTCGTTACGAATTGAGCTGCGAACCTCAAGGTCAGCAGTTCGAAACTACCAGCTGTTCCATGAGAGAAAGATGAGGCTTTCTGCTCCCGTAAAGATTTACAGCCTCAGAAACCCTGTACAGGGTCGCTATGAGTCAGAACTGACTCCACGGCACAGAACCACCACCACCATCACCACAATTAAAAATGTAAATAAAACATTTTGAAACTTAAAATGGAAAGTGTACTTTTTTTCATTTAAATTTTTTTAAAGCACGAATTACCTTAGTGGCACAAATGGTGAAACGCTGCTGACCAAAGGCTGGTGGGTCCAACCCACACATCAGCTCTGCAAGAGAAACACCTGGCCACCTGTTCCCATACAGATTACAGCCTGGAAAATCCTAGGGAGCCTTTCTCAGTGCCATGGGGTCACCAGGAGTCAAAAATGGACCAGACAACACTTAACAACAATATATACACAAAACATTTGCCAACTCAACTATTTCAACATGCGCAATCAGTGACACTAATAAGTTACCGAGTTGTTGACCATCACGTCTGTCCAGTTCCACATTGCTATGCCACTAGTAACATAAACTCAGTGTCTCTGAATAATAGCTCCCCTAAAAAAAATTTTTTTAAAGACTTAGAAATGGATCATGGTGATGTTTGTACAACACCAGAAGTGTGGCTGATATGGCTGGATTGTTTGTGTAAAAGACGCTGGAATGGCAAATATGTTGTTGTAGATATATTGCTACAATAAAATTTATAAAGTATAAAAAAAATAGTATTTCCCCTTTGCCGCCTCCCTCCCGTCTCTGGGAACCACTAATATGCCTTGGTCTCTGCATGTCTGCATATACTGTGTTGTTAAGTGCCACTGAGTCAGTTCCAACTCATAGCAACCCTTCTGAGAAGAGGCTGGTGAATTTGACCCACCAACCTTACAGTTCAAAGTGGCCTTGCAGTCCAGTGCTTATCCTAGAGCACCAAACCAGGACTCCACATAAGTGGAATCATATACCAGTTGTCCTTTTGTGACTGACTTCTTTCACATGCTAGAATGGTTTCAATGTTAATCCACATTACAGCATTTATCATTTCTCTTTATGGCTGACCAATCCCACTCTGTCCTGTGTCAAGGCCAGAAGAAACCCCAAGAGACCCCCAAGCAGCACCATACCTTGATCCCAGGAAACGTGATGGCGGAAGAAGCATAAGAACCAATCATGAGGGCCATGAAGGTGGAACGCAGGTTCCCAAACATGTTAGGCAGCTGGAGGAGGAGGAGAGCAGCGGAGGTTAGCAGGAACAGCCCTGGTTTCAGTCTAGGCTTCACCTTCTCCAGCCTCCCCTGAGACAGCTGGGGAGCATCTCAAAGTGCAATCTAGGACCACAGTCCTGAGACCCAACAGAGCAGCTTCCAGGCAAAACCCATGTGGGAAACTGTATTCTGATCTCTCTCGGGCAACGACTCTGATGCACCTTAAAAAAGTTCTGTTCATTTTAACCCCAAGGTATCTTTGTCTGTTGTTTAGGAACACTTCTTCCTATCTCACACGACAAGTGTTAAAGAAACACTGATGGCACCAATTCATTTTACTGATGAGAAAACTCAGGCCCAAAAAGGGAGAGAAAGGGACTCAGGGCCACATAGCCAATTATGGACTTTCCCTGCCCACCCTACCCCCACCCCCCTGGTTCTGACTATCCCAGACCAGGTCCCCAGGCTGTGAGCCTGCCTGATCCTGCACGAGGCTAATGTGAGCTAATGTTGATATCCATGTGTCCAGAGTAGAACTGCTCCATAGGGTTTTCAAGGCCCCTGGATGGATTCAAACCACCAACCTTTCAGCTAGTAGTCAAGCACTTAACCATTTGCACTACCCAGGCCCTCCTCTGATGGTGGCCCCCCCATCCTCCTGGTGGCCCCAGAAGCCCCCATCCACAATTTCTGCTGAACCAAGACAAGTCATGGGAAGGGCCAGGAAGGTGAGGGTGGGACGAATGAAGGGGCAGGCCATGTTTCCAGGGGTGGTGGCTCTGACGCGCATACTCCCACCAGTAGAGAATTAATTGATCGCATGTTCTGCTCTGCTGAGCTGAGCCAGGCCCTCAGGGGAGAAAAAGGCAAAGTCGTGATGCCCTTGTGAAACACTTGGGCTCCCCCCCCCCCCACCATCCCCTCCCCAGATCACTAGATTCCACAGTTGGGAAGGGCCTTAGACAAGCCCTTTCCACATCTCTTCTTCTCTGCATGAGGCCAGAGACTTTACACTGAAAAAACTCTGGGAAGCAAAGTGGGCACACACACACACAAAATTCCAAACCAAAAAACCACTGAAGCCAATGCCACTGAATTGATTCCGACTCATGGAAATCCCATATGTGACAGATTCTAACTGCTCCAGATCTATTCTTACGCCTTCCTTCTGTGGTGCTGCTGGGTGGGTTCGAACTGCCAACCTTTAGGTTAGAAGTCGAGTGCAAACCCCACTTGCGCCACCCAGGGACTCTGGAAGGTGGACAAACAGAATTAAGAGTCAACCCTTCCCCATCCACAGTGACTCTGAAATGCTTGGGCGGGGTGCAGAAGGGCCAGGCTAGCCCCTACTGGGACAGAGGTTTCCTGGCTCCTTGTATTTGCAAGGCATGCCGCCAAGGAAGCCAGGGCCAAGGCCAAGGAGGGTGACCGGCTCCCCGGAGAAGGGTCCGCGGGTGCTGTCACCACCCAGCACGTGGGGGAGGGGGCGGGGTACGGAGGCCAACCCAGTTCACCCGGAGCTGACCCGTGGGCCAGGACAGAGCCAACAGCCAGCCAGCAGCAGCACTGGACGTCCCAGCGAAGAGCTCAGCGGTCCAGGGGCGGGGCGGGGGCGGGGCCGGCGCGGGGCCCTGCCATTGGCTAGAGATTACGGGCTGGGCGGGGCGGTGAGCGGGGGCGGGGCGGGACCCCGCGTCGGGCCGACGGGCAGGGTCCGAGGTCGCGCCCCACACCCTGGGGGAGGGATTCGGAGGCCCTGAGCCCCGGCACACAGTCTGCAAAGGGGCTGCAGAGGGGCGGGGAGGAAGGGATCTGCTTCCCCCGGGTTGTGAAATGTCCCCAGCTGGAATGAAGGCGGCTGCTGGGGTGAGGGGAAATTCAGCCAAAAACATCCAGTTTGGCAGTCAGGCGGCCCTTAGCCGAGATAAACACTGCAGGTCGTGCAGCCAGGAACACACACACACTTATAAGTCCTTAACCCTTTTATTCACACGCTCACAGGCATAAACATTTACCCTGACAATAACAGACGTCCACAACTCACACGTGTCATCTGTCAAGTCACATCAAAGTGCCGTTTTGGTAGGTCAAACACGGTCAAGTGTCAACAACCTCGTATGGCTTGACCTCAAGTCCTGGCAAATGCCCACTCGTGCTCGCTCTCAGCGTCACGCGTCCACTCTCCCACAGTCTCAGGCTGCCCCTCCCTGGCGCTAGCACATTACACAGTTTTATTTTCCTCCCAGCACTTAGAACGACTGACATCATTCATTCCTTTACTTGTGGATTGGGCGCCGGCTCCCCCACCCCCAAGCTCAAGAGGGTGCTGTGACCCAGGGGTGCACCGGGACACTCATCTCCTCGTACCTCACACCCACCCTGAGCTGCCCCCACAATTTCACAGGCGAGCACTGGGCCCCTGCCTCATTTGTTCCGGGGCAGCTGCCAGGCCTGGTCAGTCATACTCACCGTGAGTGAGGTGAACGTTAGGCAGATGCCACCAAAGCCATTCAGGGACAACGCCAGGAATATCAGTGGAGAGAGAACTGGGGAGGGAGAGAGGAGGTGTGGGGAGCCGCTGAGGGCAGGAGGTCAATACGTCCCACCCATCCTTGTGTGTGCGGAGGGGAGATGGACAGCTTACCTTCCGTGTTCCGAGAGGCCAAGGCCATAAGAGTGCAGGATGCAGCGAAGCAGGCACTGTAGGGGCACAAGGAAGTGGTAGACCTGGAAAAAATCTGAGGCCCCCTCCCTGCCCACGCACCCCACAGCCAGCTCACCTGCCCATCAGTCGCATTGGCCGTGGGCCAAATCGATCCATGAGGATTCCCAGTGGCAGGGTGGTGGCGCTGAGCACAAAGGAACCAATGGTAAAGCCCAGATTAAGCATTTCATCCTGTCGATCACAGCTTGTCCTCGAGGACCGTTCGTCCAGAGTGGTGTTGGTGGTGTTCTCAGCTGAGGGGGGTGATGGGAGAGCATTTAGCACCTGAGAGGGTGCAGCACAGGTAAGAGCATCTGGGTTCTGGGTCCTATTTTCAAATTTCATACCTCCAACTGGATGACTCTGCAACTGGGCCTACTCTGGTGGGGCACAGAGGGGGCTTCCATAAATTACGATCGGACTCTAGGAGACTCACACACCCAACCTGAATCCTCACCTAGCTCAAATGTGAGAAAAGTCCCTGGGTGGTTCAAATGGTTCTGCTACTAAGGTTGCAGATTCAAGTTTGCCCAGAAGTGCCTTGGAAGAAAGACCTGGCAATTTAGGTCCCCCAAAATCAGCTATAGAAAACTCTATGGAGCGTAGTTGTACTCTGACATATGAGGTGGCCATGAATCAGAGTCACCTTGAAGGCACTAGGGTCATTCTAATATTCACTCCGTGTCCAAACTTCAGAGGGTTGTGGATCCCCAACAGGATACACCTTCAAATCTTGGCACCAAGTTAGTGCATGACAGCTGTAAAGGATGTAACAAGAATTCACTTGAAACGTAGGAAAATCTTCCCCAGCAATTAGCATTCTGGTAGTAATAATGGCTACCAGTAGCGTAGTGGTTACGAATCGGGCTGCAAACCACAAGGTCAGCAGTTTGAAACTACCAGCTGCTCCGTGGGAGAAACATGAGGTGTTCTGCTCCAGTAAAGATTTACAGCCTCAGAAACCCTGTTCGGGGTCGCTATGGGTCGGAACCTACTCGACGGCACTTAACAACAACAACAAACCAGCTGCTCCTCAGAAACGCTACACAGGGTCGCTATGGGTCGGAACCAACTCGACAGCACTTAACAACAATAATATTTACTAAACACATACCAAGTTCCAGGTAATGTTCTAAACATTGTATTAGCTCACAACGGTACCCTGAGTGAGCCAATAAAAAAATCTCCACTCTCCCGAAACTAAAACTGAGGCATGAATGATTAGATCTCTGAGACTGCCCTCTAGCACCCTTTAGAAGTGCTTCTGGAGGGCTCATCCTTCAAGCAAATGTGCAAGTTTGAATTGTGACAAGATAATGAGAAAGGTTAGTGGAGGGGCAAGGTAGAGAATTTCACTTTATTCAGTGCTCAGATAGTCCTCTCCAATTTGTCACTAGGCAGCATTGCCAAGGACAAGCTCAGGACATGCCTGGGAGGTTGAAATACCAACCATCCTCAAGAGCTGGGCAACCTGGGACAAGAGACTCCATCTCTGAGCCGCAGGCTCTTTGTCTACAAAAAGGAGCAGAGAATACCAAAACCATTGGGTCCTTAGGCAGAGTCACCAGGAGAACATGGACAAAGAAGAAATGTGCCTGGAACAGCTGAGGAAGGGAATTGATGATTAGTCTGAGGGGGTTACCAAGAGGAAAGCCCCCTAATCAGGTGCCTAGAACCCAAAGTAAGACAGGAAGAGCTCTGATCTTGTGGAACTTGTATTAGACAATACTAAACAAGGAAATAAATGAATGGCTGGTGTCCACATGAGACCAAAAGGGCAGCTTTTGCCCAAAACAAAGCTCAGAAGGCAAGAACAAGCAGGAAAGAAAGATGAATGAAAACGGGAGACCCGGGGAGGAAGTGGGAAGACTGCCCCTTCATTGAGGGCATTGCAACTAATGTCAAGAAACAATGTGTATAAATTATTGAATAGGAAACTAATGTGCTCTGTAAACTGTCATCAAGGTACCCCAAAAAAGTAGCAGATGCTTAGAATAGAACAAAACAGGAGGCTATTTTAGAGCCTGGGTGCTCCAGCCAGTGGGGGAAGACATTTGCACTAAGACTGACAATGATCTCTGACTTAATTATCCAAAGTGTGTGCACGGGTGAACTGATCTGTTTATTAACACAAAGACCTTTCAGACACTGAGTGCTGGCCAACCTGGGCAGGGACCACCTTGAGAATGGGAAATTAACCATCCCTGACAGCTACCAGAGAGATTGTGAGAACCTCCAACACCTGGGGCAAGTGGTTAAAGCTTTAGACCCCACAGCCTTGGAGGCTCAAGCCAGCATTGTCATTTTGTGACCCTCATGGTCACTGTTCATTGCTCCACTATTACGAGTGGTGTGTCACCCCTCTGAGGTGTGGCACGTGCCCTGGGCGCTACATGAAGAGGGCATGGCTGAACAGTTTATTAACCATTGTAGTTTCCATCACCAGTTATGAGATCATTCAGCAAGTTAAAACTAAGACTTTCATATTTGAGAGCCTCCATGGGTCAAGGAGGTAGCGTGGTGGCTCCATACTGCGAACCACGAGGTCAGCGGTTCGAGCTCACCAGCCGCTCTATGAAAGACAGATGAGGCTTTCTGCTCCCATAAAGATTTAAAGCCTCAGAAACTCTACACTGAGTCAGAATTGATTCAATTGGCACTTAACAACAATGGGTCAAGGAAGGAACGTTGGGTGGTGCAGTGAGTTAAGCATTAGGCTTGTGGTTTGAACCCACCAGGTGCTCCATGGGAGAAGGATGAGGCAGTTTGCTTCTGTGATTACTGACAGCCTGGGAAACACCAGGGTACCCTATAGAGACACTATGAGTCAGAATGGGTTTGATTTGGTGGGAACGGTTCAACACAGACCATGTGATCTTGCTCTGCTGAGTGTAGGAAGAGGAAAAACCAGGGAGAAAAATGACTTTGAACACATTATAGACTAATTTGCATCAGTGACAGCAAGGCAGGTATAGCTGTCATATTCATGTAGTGCTAGGAGATGTGAAGTAAAAGATTAATGAGATCTATTTGGAGTCCTGGTGTGGTGCTGTGAGATAAGCACTCAACCATAAGGTCGGTTTGGACCTCCAGGTCAGTGGTTCAAACTTACCAGCCGCTCCTCAGAAACCCTATGGAGGGTGGCTATACAGGACCAAGTTGAGTTTGTTATTGACCACACTTCTGGCGTAGTTAGCAGGATCCGTGCAATCAGCCACTGAATGTTCAGCCAGGTTTAGTCTACATTTGTTAATTCACTCTACATACACTTAGCAGGCATCTACTGCATGCCAGGTACTGTGTTGGGAGAGCAGGTAAAGCAGGGAGAAAGGCAAAGATAATTTAGACAAGCAAACAGGTGACCAGCAGTGACCTCCATGTTTTGCTTGGTTCACAGTATTGATCCTGGTGGTGGTTGTGTGCCGCCATGTTGGTTCCAATTCACAGCAACACTGTATAGGGTTTCTGAGGCTGTAAAAGCCTCTCTTTCTCCTGGGGAGTAAATAGTAGATTCCAACTACTGACATTGCAGTTAGCAGTCCAGCTCTTAACCCACTACACTACCAATGCTCCTTTGGTGGTGATTGGGCTGTAAATTTTAATGAGGTGTCAGTTTAAAATCAGAAGATAGTACATTAATACCCAGATTGCAGGCGTCTCTTTTAAAAGTCCAAAGATCTGGTCACTGCTGGGGCTAAGTAAAAGCCACCTCTTCTCACCCTGACTTGCCTTATCAACCATAGCCTTATCTCCCTTTTAGCTCCCAGACATTTGCCATCTTATACCTGCCCTGGTCTACCCAATTATTATTATCTGCCTGGCCCTCATCAGCATTTGAATTTGCAGCCTTTGTATTAGACAGACACTGTCCCAACTCCCAAGTGTTTCATAATTAAATGAAAAATTCCCTCAAAATTAATCCACTAGGTCTCAATTAATGAACAGGTGCTATACACATTGTGTGTCAGAACAGAGCCGATGCGTGGTGACCCATGTGTGTCCGAGTAGAGCTATGGTCCATACAGTTTTCAAAGCTGCCTCTTCAGAAACAGGTCACCAAGCCTTTTTTCAAAGTGTCTCTGGGTGGAATCACATCACCAATTTTCCTGATAGCGGTGGAACATGTTAACCATTTACAACACCTAGGTACTTCAAGAAAAGGACGATGATCTAGTCCCTAAAGATCACCCACTGAAAGCCTGACACACATGGGGTTTCCATGAGTCAGTAACAGCTCAACAAACA